CTCAACACCCATATTTACACCAATTTCTCTCAATTTCATTTTTCTTCAATTTTTACGGTTAAAATGGTAAATTTATGGCGTCAAAATTGATATTGAAGGAATTCAATAATTTTAAGAAGAATCATCCTACATTATGCAGTATTGATAGACAAATATCTTCTATGAAGTGAATTATTTTGATTTTTTTAAATGGATTTAATGTATAGTATCATTCGAACATGCTGAAAAGATATTCGAAGAAATTTATGAAGTTAGGTGATCGTTTGTCATTCTTTTTACCTTTATGATGAAAGTTTTCGTTGTGTTTTGTTTTAATAATATTGATAGAGACTATTGATTTGTCATAAATTCTGCACTGTATTATCATTAATTAATTAGTCTTGACTACAAAAGTTTTGCATAGGGTCTTAGTAAAAAAATTAAATACTGGTGCAACTGATACATGTAATTAGAGATTTTATGAGTACGAGATGAATGAGACATAATGTTTTACCTCAATAGGTAGAAAAATGAGGGTTAGATTGAACTTCATTATCTCTTTAACAAGACATCAACACCTAATCATCTACGTCCTATCCTTTTTTAAAAAGAATATAGAGACATTCAAACGCAAAGTTTAGAAAATAAGTTTTGAATCAACTCTCTTAATATTATTTTTGTCACATATCATCATTTCAAGTGTTTTAAGTTTAATGTAACTAGAGCTTGTTTGGGATAGATTTTTTAGGGAAGAATTGATTTTGAATAGTGATATGATGAGAAATGTGTGGTTGAAAAGAAGAAAAAATTATTAATGTGATGGAAAATATTATTTTATTGAAAAATGTGTGGTTGAAAATGAGAATTGATTTACTGTAGAAAAATGTAATCCCTCCCAAACAGGGCCCTAATGTTTAAGACAAACAATTTTTTTAAAAAAATTTACACTATATATAACCAACTATACTATGGCACATGCATTGCACGTGTGTTTTACTAGTGTTTAACAAAAAATGGACTTAGTTTTTTTTTTTTTTTTTTTTGAATTAAAATTAGATTTTTAATAGATTTTGAAAAAAAGGTTGATTAAATGATTGATTGAAAAATTATGAATCTCATTAAATATGTGATTAAAATTAATTATTAACTTGATTTACAATAAAAAATAAATTTAAATTCCTATCGGCCCCCCCTATTTGATGGAGATTAAAATCAAATTTTTAGTAGATTTTGATAGAAGTTGATAAAATATGTGATTGAAAAGTTGTAGAATCCATTAAATATGTGATTAAAATTAATTATTGACTTTTAACTTAAAATTAAAATTAAAATTTTAATAATAAATTAGTTTGGAAAACAAAGGGGATAAAAGATAAAATGTAAAAAGAAATTTACTTTCTTACAGAAAATAGAAGAAAGATTCTCGGTGGGGCGACACGAGACACATCTAGAACCTTCTCATCTCATTTGCCACCAAGTACTAGGAGCGAGTTAATAAATGAACACCGCTACTCATCCTCTTCGATTTTCATATATCGAATCATCTCTCACACTAGAAAACTCTATTTCTCTTTGTACTGTTTCAATTTCTTCCCATAAACCCTGAACACTAGCTGATCAAATTGAAAATCACCAATTCTTAATGGCGACAGCCGTTCTCCTCAGATCTCTTGGCCGCCGCGAAATTACATCCGCTCCTCTTAATGTTTACAAAACTGTATGTCTCTCTTACGCACACTCCTCTGATTGGTTCTTGTACTCGATTGTTTTTCGTGCCTTTTTTTGAGTTTTATGTTTAGTAGATACTGCTATGATAAGCGGATTGATGTCATAGCACCTGATGCTACTTTGTTGTGTATTATATAGTTTCGATTGTTCTATTTAAGTTTTTTACCTTTAGAGAAAGATTTAAATGAAGGAAAACAAATTATAATTGAAAGGATTGATGTCGTTTGTGTTTGCTGTTTTTCTTTTTGTCGATCCTTGCTGTGTACAAGGATGAGTTTTTTTAAATGCAAGTTTAAGCCATGCTCTTATTTGAGCTCCTATTGTTTTATTTCCAGCTGAATTTTATTTTTGGGCTGTATTAGCTCTTTAGAGCAAGACTCTTTAAGCATGAGTTGATCTCTATTTTAAACCGTCAACATTTAAAATCATATTCCAAAAAATTCTTTAAATTAATATTTTAATTTAGAGAGTAGGTTTAAATTTGGAGAGTCAAACTGACTCTCTATCATTAAATGCATTCGAAGTGTTTCAATTTTCATTGTAGGAAAACAATAAAATAATTTAAAGAAAAGCTATTTAAAATAAAAGATAAAGAAAAATAATAAATATTTTTTTGGGAGTAATAAATATAAAGAGCTTGTTGGAGCGCTTCAAAATTTTAGCTATTTAAATTTATAGATGCTTTCCAAATGATAGAATATGCTCTTTAAAAATAGAGAGTCTCTTGGAGATGTTCTTAATATTTGATACGGGTGAAATTCATATTTCTTTGTTTCACTGAACATATATCATGTATATTTATATATATTTTCTTCTCTCTCCCCCACCGCTTCCACTTTAGAGTTAATTAAATCATCGCCTACTAAACTTTTCTCTAAGTTACTATTTGCTCACTGAACTAAAAAGTTACCTATTGCTTACTCATTTATTCAAACATTTACCCATTCATCACTCCTTTTAAATTCCACGTGTGCTAACGGCATGTTTATGTGGTACATTTACATCGTTAATTTGTACACCTAGATTAAAAATAAAATCAAAAACCCCCCAAATTGAAAATGCTAAAAGGCCCAGGTTATCCTCTCATTTCCATTTCCATTTCAATTTTCAGTTCAACACGTGCAATGTCAATCATCAATATCACGATCTGCAATGCAAAGATCATTATCGCAGCCTCCTCTTCCACTTACACATCCGCCTCCTAGTTTCTGGGCTTTCGTCTTCATTGGTTTTTTGAATTTAAGGAAAATATCCATGGGCTTGGGTGGTAAGTTTTGGAGCTAGCTGCACCCTTATATTGAATCCTCCTAAGAAAGTAACCAATTGAAAAGCCAAGCCAACAATAGCAGATCGCTATCAAAATCCAAAAGCAAGCACAAGCATTGCCACCTCTGCCATGGCTTCCGTCTTCCTTCTCCACTTTTGCCGAAGCTATAATATACCAATGGAGGCCTTGTGTTGATTTAAAGCAGATAATCCCTCGAATGCACTTCATGTGCATATCAGAATTTAGCATTCATCTCTTAAATTATATTAGATTGTGCTGTCATCAGTGGCGGATCTAGGAACTTGAGTGAGCTAGGGCGGTCGTTCATTGTTGACGTCGTAATAGTAAAATTATTTATTAATATTTAATTAAATAGTATTTAAAAATTTTAGCCCTTGTTTGGGAGGGCTTTTCATCTCTCCAAAATTGATTATTGTGCCGTTGCTTTTTGAACGTTTCTCACGGAAAAGGCAGCTGCAATTGCTGAATTGTTACCGTTGCTGGCTTCAACGGACAGAAAAGCAATTTTCAGCTAAAATTTAATCGCGGCCAGACAATTCCATAATCTATATATAAATATACTAAAACGTAAAAGTCATATGCATTTGAAAATGTAATCCAATAAATCCAAAATAATTAAAAAAAAAATACATTTATCAATAATGTATATATGATCAAGCTTTAAATTTTTTATGAACTTAAACGAGATAAGATAAAGTTTATACGTAAAACACGACTGAATGGTAAATACAAGGTCTAAATTTAGGCAAAGGTTATGCAATATTTTGAAAATAATGATTTTTAGAACTAAAACTATTTTTGACCCCAAAAGAAAATTGTTTTTCTAACTCTTAAAAAAATAAGGAACGGTTCTTAGATTGTCTAAATTTAAAATTTATATAATAAATTGATTAAATTTAAAAATTAAAGTATCTATATTATGAAACAATAATTTGAGTAAAAAAAATTACTTTAAAAACAAAAACTATTAAAATATAATTGTTTATTTAATATTTATTGTATGAAAAAAATTAAACAAAAAGGTGGATTGGCATGGAATTGAACCCCACCCCATACCTTTTGGATTAGGGGCGGATCCAGCATCGACGAGCCGGTGTGGTTGCCTATGCTGGATCCGTCGAGGGAAAAAATTACTGAAGATTGCTGGCTCGTTTGGTGCTGGATCCGCTGGAAGAAAAATTAATGAAGAAGAGACATTTAGCAAAATCGTGTGCAGATCGGGTGGTCGGGCATTGGCTCTTGCGTCCAAGATGCTCAAGTTCGATTCTCTTTCATGGCACTCCTTTTAATTTTTAAACACGGTAAATATTATTAAACTTTTGATATATAATTATACTAGCTTCAACAATATGGAGGGTAGCTCTTATGGCAGTAGGGTTATTTTATATCCAAAAAGGTATGGGGTTCAATTCAATGCCAATTCACATTTTTGTTTAATTATTTTCATGCAATAAATATTAAATAAACAATTATATTTTTTTAGTTTTTGCTTTTAAAATAATTTCTTTAATAATTTTTTTCACTCAAATTATAGCTTCATAATATAGATACTTTTATTTTTGAGTTTAATCAATTTATTTTATAAAATTTAAATTTAGACAATCTAAGAACTGCTTTTTATTTTTTTAAAAGTTTGAAAATACTTTTCTTTGGGGTCAAAAATAGTTTTAATTATAAAAATTATTATTTTCAAAATATTGCATAACCTTCGCATAAATTTAGAGCTTGTATTTACCATTTAATCACGCTTTACGTATAAACTTTATCTTAACTCGTTTAAGTTCGTATAAATTTTGAAACTTGATCATATATACNGCTCAATTTCCTAGATCCGCCACTGTTTTGGATATAAAGTAGCCCCACTGCCATATGAGCTACCTCCATATTGTTGAAGTTAGTACAATTTTATATCAAAAGTTAATTATTATTAACCGTGTTTAAAAATTAAAAAGAGGAGTTCCATGAAAGAGAATCGAACTTGAGCATCTTGGACTCAAGAGCCAGCGCGCGACCACCCGATGATTTGGGTATGGGTTAGGGATGCGCGACCACCCAATGATTTGGGTATGGGTTAGGGCTATCTTCACACAATTGGGGGTTTTGATTAGGGGGATTTTGTGTTTGTAATTTGGGGTTATTTTATTTCTAATCCAAGTGGACAAATTAGCGGTGTAAATGTGCCATGCTAGCATTCCGTTGGAGTTTTCCGTCAATTTTTGGGAAAGAATTTAAACAGAGTAATGAATGGATAAACGCTTGAATAAATGAGTGAGCAGTGGGTAAGCTTTATTAGTTCAGTGAGCAAGTGGTAACCTCGCGTAAAGTTCAGTAGGCAGTGATTTAATTATCTCTCCACTTTACTAGTTTTTCCTCCTGCTGTGATCTAATTAACTTCCATTTCTATCCTTCTTTAAGGGTTGGTTAGATAAGGAATTTCAGTTTGTTGCTATATATTTCTGTGCATTTGACATCGATGATCTATCCTTTGTTTATTTACTGTAAATCTGTAGGAGCTCATTTAGTCATACATACAAACTCTTGCCTTTTGCACAAGTTAGCTAGAGTTTATGTTTATATTGCTGTTTTTGTGCTTATTATATGGGCTGTTTTTTGTTTAGTTGAATGGAAATACGAAGCCAGCATGGGCTTTGGGTAACAAGTGGGCTGGTTTTGTAAGGCCATTCAGGTATATTTCCTGTTTACTTTCTTTGCTGTTTGTGGACCTTCGTCTCAGAAATTCAACACTGGTTCCCACCTCAATGCAGCACACAACCAGCTGGGAATGATGTTATCGGAATTGACCTGGGCACCACAAACTCCTGTGTTGCTGTCATGGAGGGCAAGGTAAAGTACTCTCTGTCCATCATTGAATAACCTTCACCTCAAACGCGATAATGCTAACGCGTTCATGACAAACATGCTTTTCTTTGCAGACTCCTAAAGTTATTGAAAACTCGGAGGGTGCTCGTACCACTCCATCAGTTGTTGCTTTTAACCAAAAACGAGAGCTTCTGGTTGGTACACCGGCTAAACGGCAGGCTGTCACCAATCCCACCAACACAATCTTTGGTACCAAACGTCTAATCGGTAGGCGTTTTGATGATCCTCAGACCCAAAAGGAAATGAAGATGGTTCCATATAAAATTGTCAGGGCCCCTAATGGAGATGCATGGGTTGAAGCCAGCGGACAGCAGTACTCACCAAGCCAAATTGGTGCTTTTATTCTGACTAAGATGAAGGAAACTGCAGAGGCTTATCTTGGGAGGTCTGTCAACAAGGCTGTGATAACGGTACCAGCTTATTTTAATGATGCTCAAAGGCAAGCCACCAAGGATGCTGGGAGAATTGCAGGACTTGATGTGCAAAGAATTATAAACGAGCCTACTGCAGCCGCACTTTCCTATGGTATGAATAACAAAGAGGGTCTTATTGCTGTATTCGATCTTGGAGGTGGAACTTTTGATATTTCCATCCTGGAGATTTCAAATGGCGTCTTTGAGGTATTTTCTTAGCAGTTCTCAGCTTGTAATGTTGTGTTAATCTTCTTGTCATGCGGCTGACCAATCATTGTCTGAGCAGGTGAAAGCCACTAACGGCGATACATTTTTGGGAGGGGAGGACTTTGATAATACTCTGTTAGAATTTTTGGTTAGTGAGTTCAAGAGAACTGAGGGTATAGATTTGTCCAAGGACAGGCTTGCCCTGCAGAGACTTCGAGAGGCGGCTGAGAAAGCAAAGATAGAACTTTCATCGACATCACAGACTGAAATCAACTTACCTTTTATCACTGCTGATGCATCTGGTGCAAAGCATTTGAATATAACACTGACCCGATCAAAGTTTGAGGCTTTGGTGAACCATTTGATTGAAAGGACTAAGCCCCCTTGCAAGAGCTGTTTAAAGGATGCTGGAATTTCTACTAAGGAGGTTGATGAGGTCCTCCTCGTTGGAGGGATGACTCGTGTACCCAAAATTCAGGAAGTTGTTTCAGAAATTTTCGGCAAGACCCCGAGCAAAGGGGTTAACCCTGACGAAGCAGTTGCCATGGGAGCTGCAATTCAGGGTGGTATCCTCCGTGGTGATGTGAAAGAGTTGCTTCTCCTAGATGTTACTCCCCTGTCACTTGGTATTGAGACATTGGGAGGTATCTTCACCAGATTGATTAACAGAAATACAACTATTCCTTCAAAGAAGAGTCAGGTGAGGACCTAGAGAGTGAGATGAAAGATTTTATTATACTATTTACCTTGTATTGATTTGCCGAGTTTTTCCCTTTTGTATATAAATCAAACCAGCTTATTTGTAGGCTTGCTTACGAGCATTTTGTTCAACTTTTCTTTTATTGCTTCTCTAATGTATTCTTGTCTTTCTATGCAGGTGTTCTCAACAGCTGCTGACAACCAAACTCAGGTGGGTATTAAAGTATTGCAAGGAGAGAGGGAGATGGCTTCTGACAACAAGCTCCTTGGTGAATTTGATCTTGTGGGTATTCCTCCAGCTCCTAGAGGCATGCCCCAGATAGAAGTTACATTTGACATCGACGCAAATGGAATTGTAACTGTTTCTGCAAAGGACAAGACCACTGGTAAAGAGCAGCAGATCACCATTAGGTCATCTGGTGGCCTATCAGAAGACGATATTGAGAAGATGGTCAAGGAGGCCGAGGCACATGCTCAGAAAGATCAAGAAAGAAAGGCTTTAATCGATCTTAAAAATAATGCTGACACCACCATATACAGTATCGAAAAGAGCTTAAACGAATATAGGGATAAGGTTCCGAGTGAAGTCGTGTCAGAAATTGAGTCGGCCATCACAGATTTGAGAACCGCTATGGATGGTGAGAATATTGATGAGATTAAGGCTAAGCTTGATGCAGCAAACAAAGCAGTGTCAAAGATTGGACAGCACATGTCTGGTGGTTCAGGTGGTAGTTCTTCATCTGGAGGTGCAAAGGGTGGCGACCAGACACCGGAGGCAGAGTATGAGGAGGCAAAGAAGTAGATTTTTTAGGCAACAAGAGGAGGGAGATGGTTCTACAGTTCTGTTATTTGAGTGCATGGTTCGGCTGTTGTGTTCATAATCCTGCAAAAGCTGTATTATTTAGTTCTTTGAGAACCTACTTCTGCTAGCCCATGTTCTAGTCATAGATTTCTCAGTTACATTTTGGTGGCAAAAAGTTTTATTGTTGAATAAATTGTACTTTTTGCTACTGTAAATATTTTAGACGTGATTTAAGTTCATTTG